TTTCACATTGAACATACCCAATTTTGATAACCAGGTAATGGTAAATTTAATCGTCTTGTTATTGATCAGTTGTATATTCATCTTTCTAGTTTCTTGTTCTGCTGGGAAATCTTGGAAGTATGGAGAGTGATAACTGTATTTTGCTTCAGGATAAATTATACTTTGCTTTATGGGTTGATTAATAGTGATAACTCGGTTTTCCAATAGCTTTGAAGAGACAGGTATTCACCCTGATCAGTAACATGCCTATAAACTCTTAATATATGCTCGCTACGTAGTATTGGATTTGATTGGACAATATAATAAACTATATTTTAGTTTATTTTTTCTTCTTTAATATTGTCCAGTAATGTACAATGCACTTCATTGAACAAGCCATTATAGTTGAACTTGACAATTCCACATGGGAACAATTCAGTTAATTTATCAGCTTCTTTGATAGGCTTTGTGGCTAATACCTGATGACATCCATCAATATGCACTTCAACAGTTGCACAGTCTGTTATGCCTCGCTACCAAAGCTCAAAATCGAAGTGCCACGTAACAATCCACGTGGGCAGGAGGTCAACAAAAAAGTCAAACGAAGGCCCGACTGGTCAAATACAAAGAAATCGTGCAACAGTCGAAGTTCCTTCCGAGACACCACCTCAAATGATCAAGCACCTTAACTTGGGTTGAAACACTACCTAAGGAAACAAATAAAAGAGTTGAAGCTCCCCATTAAAACAACCAGCATAATGACCTCTTCAAGGCTCTCAGCACATTCGAAGCTCAATGAAGTCGACATTGTCTCTTACAACATATTTGAAGATCTTTTAGAAGTGATTGATGTAACACTTGTAATAAAGAATGTCAGGTGTGTCTGCCTATTGTATAGGGTGGATGGCCTCTTATCAATGTATTAATTATAAGAATAAACAGTGATGTGAAACCTCAGTCAAGGAGATGAAACAACGTGGTTCTGATCCAATGGACACAACGTTGACCAATGCAGTATAAATAGGTTATCTTTGTAACTTAGAAAGGGTTGCATTTTGGAAGTTAAAATCTTATACTCTTGATTATTGAGTGAATAAGCAATATATGCAATCATTTGGGTGATCATCTTTCTTTTTTTGTACATTTTGCGACTAGATATAAATCTCGACATATAATCTAACACTTTGGTATACACATATCTCCTATCCTTCCTCGTGTTCCCGTTTCACTCTTAGTCGAGTAGATTGGTTTTTCGATTGATGGTCGTTGTTAGCGCGATCATCTTTATTCCACCCGCCGGAGTTCGAACACTTTTGTCTCTTGTCGTAGAGCATTTCCCGCGTTCATGTCCGTCCTTCTTCACCATCTCCGGTAGAAACGCGCCGGAACTTGCTTGACGTGGCGAGAGTAGGACTGACATCTGTTAGCTCATTTTTTGGAGTCAACATGGTCATCGCTGGATCGACCTCTGAATTGAGAGGATTTTAGCTAAGGTCAACATTTTCAACGAGTGATGGATGAAGAACAGATGAATGAAAGAATGTAATATTTTGATCTATCTTGGGATTTCAGACTGAGGTATGAAGTTTTATACTGTATCAAGATGGAATTTGAAGGAAGGATCCCATTCTTTGAATTTATTAATCACCGCATAGGTACGTGTCATGAGAATCTTAACCAAATATGGAAGATCAGAAGGCCGACAGGTAGGATTTGCAGCAGCCTCCGCCTCCAGGAAATCGATCTAGTAATACCCAAAAATACGTACAATATATTATGAAGCATAAATGTTAGTTTTGAGATATTAGGATAACCTAACAACTTTACCATTTTTTAGGGACTTTGTGTTAATATTTCTAATAATTGGATATATATTACATAAAATTAAATTTTAATATTATTGTGGATATCTATTAAATTATTATCGAATTATCTAATAAAAATTATTTAGATAAAACTTGAAATTTTCACATATCCACACTAGAATCTTATCATCATCTAGTTATATATATTTTTTAAATTCGAATTTCATGATAAATTTGTTTGTTGAAAGATCAATCTAAATTTGAATTAAGAATCCTATTATAATTCTAATTATGTATCTATCCTTATCAAATCACACATATAAATACCCTCTCATTGTTGCACTTCAATTCACATAAATTCCGAGAGAGAAAAAAAGAACAGAGAAAGAGAGAAAATAAGGGAGAGAGAAAAAAAAAAGATACAGAGAGAGAGAGGGGATAAATGAAAAAGAAAAAGTTTTCTAGTTCGAGATTTGTTCGCAAGAATTTTCAGTCTAAGAAGCTCAAGTATATAAGCAACTTAACAAATTAGGTATGGATTTCTATATGTGCCCAGTGGTTTCGTGTTTGCACTTTTTAATATTTTAAGTTAAGCAATTTATGTGATATTATGTGATCCAAATTAAAGAAGGATCTCGTTGGTAATACCATAAGTTATTATTATGTAGAACTACGTGAAAATCAGCCATAGGGCTAAATACCCCAAGTGGTGATTGAGAATGTGTATGACTTAAGTGAGAATGAGACGGTCGAGTTTTTATCCCACTAGAAAAATTATGTTATGTGCGTAATTTACTTGCTTTTTATATTAAACCGTGAAAATACTACTATGAAATCTGTACTGAGTGTATTTATATGCACATTCTATATTCTAAGTTCTTTTTACAGATACTTGATGGATTGGAGTTAGAGGTTGAGACCATTGACAGAGTTCGTGTTGCTAGATCTAGAATAAATTTTTTTTTTCAGTATTTAGTTACAAAATTATTTTGCAATGGGAATCTTATTTCAAAATCAATGGATTTACATTTCATTAGTGGATTGAATTTGTTTGACATATTATGCGACATAAAATAGTTTATTTTATTCCGCATATTTCTTACACTATGAATCAATCAATTTATTTTATGGATAAATGAATTATTTGAGTAACCTTCAGGACATAAGTTTCGGGGCGTTACAACATGATATCAGAGTTTGGTTAATCTTTTCTGCAGATTTTGTAAAATTGAAATTTTGATTATTTTTATACGTTAGAAAATTAAATAAATTTTGTTCCACACGAAATCGGGACCGGTATGATCAACTTCTAACCGACGATCTAAGTTATGAAATTATTTTAGTTTTAAATTAAAAAGTGATTGCTTGAACTTGATATATCCTCTTTGTATAAAGTTAAATTGTTAAATTTACAGAAAATTCATTACTATGTTTATTTCCATAGAGCCATGATGAAAATTAGAGAAGTAATTGAGCGATGCAATGATTATGTAAAAAAAAAACTTGGGAAATTTATTGTTTTGAGTTTTCACAGGACTGAAAAGTTTTGTCAAAAAGACTTAAACTGTTTAAAGCGAGCTTGAGATTTAAGATGTCTACTTGTGACCCCCTTACTCACCTGGAATCGTTTTCAGTTGCGTGTTATTCAAATCAATAAGACGAAAAAATATTGCAAACCCACTCAACACCACCAACAACAACAACAACAATAATAATAATAATAATAATAATATTATTATTATTATTATTATTATGTAAAACTCATTGAAGTATGCATTTAACTAATTACGTGCATGTATAATAATTAACATTTATTTTCAGATGCTTGTTTTTCTCTTATATTTAGATTAAAATGGTAAATGAATGGTCAAATATTACATTTACGACATTTATAAAATATTTTTTAGAATAATGTGCAACGCTAGTTCACTTTGACTACACTAGTATATATAAAAGGGAAGAAAGATGCAATTCCTAACAAAATGGGAAAAATAAGAAAGAAACGGACACAACTATCCATAACCGCTTTACTAACGGCTGATGCTGCAATACATCGTACCCTCGATTTCTCCGAATACATAAGCTCAAATTTGGTATGTAACGATCATGTAATTATTCTTTGATTTATTATTAATTTGAAAATGATCCAATTCTTTTGTGGGATCTCCGAAAAATGATTAAAGATTGAATCTTTTATGAATTTTCCATGCGCGAATTTTCTAATTTTGGTTATATTGATTTGGGGATTGGATTTAAATCGAAAGTTTTAGTGAAATAGCGCAAATTTGCATTTTTGGTTCAATATTTGTTTCTGGGCTTGTGTTTATTTTGATGATTAATCTTTGGCTTTTAATGCAGCATAATTTGGATAATTTGCATAAATGGGTCATTTTGTGCACTAGGGGTATAGAGTTCAATTCTTTACTTTTTTTACTTTTTGTTTAATTTTTCATTACAATAAATAATAACTATATAATTATATATTATAGTTTCCGTTTTCGAAATAATTTCTTTAAAAAATTTATTGACTCAAATTATTACTCTATGATATATATACTTTTATTATTAGATTTTATTAATTTATTTTATAAA